GCTGGGTGGGGCCGGGTGCTCCCCGCCGGCCTGCGGTCCCTTCCAGCCAGCCTGATGCTTCCCACCTATTTTTGAGGGGGGGGGAACCTAGTCTCGGTGTGGAGTGGCCTCCCCTGTGCTAGTCTGCTCGAGGTGCGGTGGCGTATCAATCGGTTCTGTATGGGGAGAGGGGTGAGACGCCTGGTTCCTCTTCATCTCTGCTCCCCCGTCTCTTCCAAAAGTGTGTTTGCTTCTTGTAGACATTCCTGTGAAATTTACTGCTTCGCTTTACATCATCGGGTTCATCAGAAAGGAGGTAAAGCCTCACGAATGAGTTTAAGGAGGACTACGTGAAACTGCTCAGGCAATTCTACCTCGTTCCCCGTAGCATAACGGTGGATGTCTGTGAGATTTCATCCACATCACTGGGAGCACAGCTGTATGGGGTGAAGGTGGTTTTCTAGCCAATGTTGTTATAGTGATAGATATTTATTTCTCTTTACAAAAGTCAGTGCTAGTAGTTTGGAGAAGGATTTTCTGAATGGAAGGAAGAGGGATTCGTTGGTCTTAGACTTTGTATTTCTCTGATCCACATGCAGAAACTGCTTACTGGGATTAGGCGGCATGACTTTCTCAGTGGGGCTAAGCTTAGTGCTTAGACTCTGCGTTTTTACTCCCAAGATGCTTTCCTGACATGTAAATGTGAGCTCAGTTTAGGCTGAACGATCAGTTTCTGTGTTGTCTGTCTCGTTTTGCTATCCTGTGAGTACAGCCTTTGTGTCACACAAGACGCAGCTCTGTGAGACCCTGTTCAGTGTAACGTCTATCAAAAACATTAAGCTGGTTCTAGAGATTGAATTTTGTTCACCTGCCTTATAACCACATGTCCCTCTCAGTGATGCTTGGCTCTTAACAACCCACAGAGAGATTGTGGCCTAGTTGAATAAAAATAAGCTGTTCTTTTCTACATTTGTGTTAAAGTTGCTGCAAATGAAGTTTATTTAAAAAGGAAAATATCAAACTTTGTCTTTTGACATTAAAATGATGCAGATTTTTCCAATACATTTTTAGACATATTTGCATAGTTAACTTATTCTCCCCCCTGTCACCGTTATCTTGAGTCAGAGATCATTTTTTCCATAAGTTTAAAAAGTATGGTACTGATTATGCTCCCAATAATGCAAGAAAATGTTTCTTTGTGTACTGGTGTTAAAAGGCCCTAGGCTTTGTCGTTTGCTTTGTTATGTATATTGTGGAATTGGGCTTGCCAACATCTGTTAGGAGTTAAGAACTTCAACTTTTTGAACAGAATTATTTTTCCGTACATTTTGTGGGATAATTACAAATAGGTATATGGGAGGAATCCTCTCCTGATAGGAAAAAAGCTGTTCTGATTTTTGAGATGCTAAAATATTGGAGTTGCAGGCATAATATACATCAAATATGGTATTGACTGTTACAGTGTAGCTTGTGTGATAGGTGCTATTTACAAAATTTTGATTAGCTTATACAAAATTTTGATTAGTTTATTGAATATTTTTGTTTAACCAGTGCAATTTTTTTTAATATTGTGTCATCAAGTGAATGAAGCAGTGAAGCAAGGATGAGACATTAATCTCTACTTTTTTTGTGAGAAGTCTTCTGTCTCATTTATTAATTTCAACTCAGGGTTCTCAATTTTGTTTGTTTGCTTTTCATACATCATTTCCTCTGCCTTGCCTGGTCTGACAGTGAACTTCATGGTGGAAAGGTGACTGTTCTGGGTACCCAAACGCCAGGTTATTGTGACACCATCACTACTGTTAAATGCATTGTCGATCAGTGGTGATATTTATGTGCTGCTTGTAACTACGTATGTTTGTGTCGTTATTGGGTAGTCAGGTGGTTATTAAGTTACCTACTTGTTACATTTTAGACTGCTCATTTGAACATTAAGTTCATACTTCATAAAAATATGCTGAATAGATGCACATTATTTTAGTGGTGATAATGCATTTTTGAGTTTTTGCGTACTCTGTCTGCACTTCTAGATGTAGGACCTCTTGATTCAGCACTGAGGGAGCCACTACTTATTATAGCATTGGTGTGTTTGAATAAGGAAAGGGAACTTATGTTTGTTGTGAGATAAGTTTTGGGTGGTTGTTGGTTTTGTGTTGTTTTTTTTTTTTTTTCCTGTGGGGGAAAAGGCAAAATTTTTCAAGGTTTCTTCCTTTACAAAGGAGGAAAATGTAACCATCTTTTACTGAAATTTATAGATGTAGACAGGCTTTTCATTCATTTGCTGAGTGCTTGAATTCATTTTAAGACAGATGAAACAACAAACTGGGAGAATGCTAATCTGTATTGAAAACAAGAAAAATCAGTGCAAACCAGTCTGTTCTTGTCTACTCTTGTTTATTGTTATAAATGCTGCTTTAACCAAAATCTGCTTTTGTGTGTACAATTCTGTGGGCCTAAAATGACTGGCAAGCATAGTTTTATGAATTAACCAATGACTGGCTCACTGAATAAATTTCTCAAATATTCTGCCAGTCTTGCCCAGCTGTGCTCACTTCTGAGACTCAACTGCTGCAGTGCACTCTTCTTTGAGCTCCCCTTGAAGACTGTGTGAAGGTTTCAGCTGGTGCAAAAAGAAGCTATTGATGATGGTCCATGTGAGGCTGGATCTCATTTCTCGTATAGCGCGCATGAACTCTCTGGACTGATTTTGTATGTAGGACTAATTGTATTTTTCAAAACTTTCAATGATCAGGGTAGAGTTAGGCTGCAGTAGCACAAAGAGGCTAGGCTATCTTTTAGTAAAATCCTCTGTGGATTCAGACATAGTCGGGTCTTTGTAAAATAAAATGATCTCTTTTTTCATATGAAAATGTTCACTTACAATCTTATGTACTGTATTTTTATAGTGTTTTTAAATGTGTTACCAGCTGAAGTCATGGGAAGGCTGATACAGTAGTGAAATAGTTCTGAGCACAGGCAGAGAAGCCTTACTGCCTAAACCATTTGAATCTAGACTCTTTTAAAACTATCAAATATAATAAAAGGTATTAATCCTGTATAAACTTGTGACGACTTAAGTGATTATGATACACTTCTTTAAAGAAAGAAGCCTTTTATTATGTGGATTATGGTTTAGGCTCCCTGCTTGTAGTTTGTGAGATATGATTGCTTTCGGTTAAGAAAGCTTTTGTAAAAATGGAAAGCCAGTAGGAATGTTCCATTCTTACTTTCATTAAAAGACATTAAATTAAAGCAAATATTCCCTCCTGTTGGTTCTTTCTGCAGCATTTGAAATCTGTACAGAATCAGAGACCTGAAAAAGCACTGGCTGCGATACCAGCTCTGTGTTTTTCATTGCTGTTTTTCATCTCAGCTTGTTAAGGAATCACTAGTAGTAATAAGGTGTATTTTAAAGTATTTCACTGGAGTTCTGCTGACTGTGCTCCCCAAGTGAAATGGTGCCTTCTGCTGTAAGGTAAGGCTGGACTGTGCAGGAGATGGAACTTTTTTCCACAATTACTCTGTCTGAAACAGATTTCCACAGGACTTAAGAACTGAGACAGGCGATAACACTGCTCTTAAGCACAAAGTGTGCTATTTCATCTCTCTCTAACATAAACCCGAGGTATCTTTGATCTTATTTTTCTAAAACAGTGTGTATGATGTATTTCAAACAGAAGTGCTATACTGCACACAGATGGTGTCCTAAAGAATAGATAATGGAATGGCCCACATGCAACAGATGTTACCTGAGTCCATTAATGAGCTGCTGAATAGCACCAAGATGATTTGATGATCCTGCCTTATTTAACACAGCAGTTTGTGTTGACAGTATGGCTAAACATATGTTTGTTCACAGTACCAACTTTTAGTTAGCCTTTTGAATACTTTTTTTTGAGCAACCTATATAAAATATTTTCGGAGTTCTCTGTTCTTCTCAAGGCTTAGTTGTGAGGTTCTTTTATTAAATAATGCCCCTCTAGAAGATGATGCAGTGCATGTTTATAGTTGGAAGATGCCTGTTGATTTTAAGAGATTTGTACTGGTTCTGACAGTACTGATGCCGAGGACAGAGAAGTGCTGTGTATATTTTCTGTCTTTCACCAGTACATCTGCGCGTTGCAGTCTACTGAAGACGTTCCAAGAGATTATTTGAAAGGGAAAAGCCAGATAGATTTCTGTGCTGGTAAGGATAGCACTAGGGATTTTCTTCTACATGTTGTGTTTTGTACGTTCTTCTGAATCTGAATCAAAGGCATAAGCCTCTGATGCATTCAGTCATCTTGAGCTGCTTACTGAAAATGAAGAGCCCGTTACAGACAAGCGGAGAATTTCCTTCCCTGAGGTGGGTCCCCTGGGCTGGTCTCCCACCTTCCCCTCTCCAAAGGCGATGCGGACCTGGCTGCTTGTCATGAGGTGCAGGTCGCTGAGGCAGCGAGCGGGCTCTGCATTCTGCCACCGCTGCGAGTTGAACCTTGGAAGTGCGGTATTGCGGCGTACCTGTGCAAGGGTGGGCAGTGACTGCTGTCTGTAGTAGGAGGTTTCTCAGCACGGTGATTTCAACAGCTGTCATTCTGAATCTGGTGGCAGACTGGGTTTATCTGTCAGATTTTGAATTCTTTGCGTTCTGCAAAGTTGTGTCTTGCACAAAAAAGTTGAAATAGTGACTTTGAAGTGATAAAGCACTTACACTTGCTTATAATTTGACTGTTAAGAATGCACGTTAAATTTTTTTTCTTTTTTTTTCCCCTCTGGAATAAGTACTTGCTTTTTTTTTTTTACTTACTTTAAATTGGCAAAGTTGTTGTCTTGCAAGTCTGAAGAGACTGAAAGGCTTTTCTCTCCAGGAGCAGACAGGTAAGAGTGGTTGGGCTTAGGGAGACCCATCAGCAGTGCTGCAGACCTCCTGGCTGGCACTGTAGACAGAAGATTGGATGACTTGTGGCTGCCGGACCCCATAGTAGAACGGTTGGGGGAATAACTTGTGCCACGTTAATGCACGGGGACAGAAAGTTTTCAGATAACAAACTTGTTTGTTGAAAAAGCTTCTGAAGTGCTGTTTTAGGATTATTCTCTAAGATGCTAGATGCTAGCAGCTGACAATGTGCTATGATTCTGTGTATCTGTGAGTTGGCCTAGTCATGTTTTTTCTGAAATTATATTATTTTTGAATAATATTTGCGATTAGTTATTTAGTTTACATTTTTCATGAAGCTGGAAGAATTTTATTTTACCTTGGTAAGTTGGGAGAGGAATTTGCATCTTTTGGGTAATAAATATTGATTTAAAAAAAAAAATCTTTTAATAGCCACAGATTCAGCTGGATTAGTTTAAACAATCCTGTCTCCTTGAGGGTATGTGGTTCCGATCTCTATTTCTAAGGTTTCTCTGTTATTGTATGACTTTTGGAAATGTAAAGGAAATAATAATCTCATATGATGTGTTGCTTTTTTTTCTACTAAGAGTGTTTTGTTACCTCCTTGCATTTAGTAAACCTTGTGAGAATTGTTCAATTTCGGTATTGTATCAGTAGCAGATTTGGGAGAAGCTGTAGACAGGTCAGCAGGGGTTCTTAAATTGAAGTTAGAAATGTATTTCTAGAAACCAAGTTTGACTTAAACTGCCTTTGTGGTCAAAAGAAGTGTTTTAACATCTAGGGAGCTCACATGGCTGGTGTAAGCCGGTAGATACTTTGATGCTTTATCTTACAGGTTTGCTTTTCTAGTTGTTTTAGCAATACCTGATATACAAGATGACTTGTATCCTGAATTCAGGATACACTGGGTCTTGTACTGTATTATTGCAACTGTCAGGCTCAGCTACTTAATGGCTTTTCCTTGTCTTTTGCAGCAATGTTCTTTTTTTAATTGATCTTAAGAGATTTAAAATTTCATAGTTGGAAAGATTCCACATTTCATCTGCCTATTTTGTCTTTGTCCGCTGCATAAAATAAGGCAAATTATAGACCAAAATGCTGTTGTTCCCTGTCCTCTGTAGCTTGTTTGACACCTTAATGTGACATAGTCAAAGGATGTTAGAGCGAGAGAGGGGGTATATGGCATTGTGCCTCAGTGTGGGTGCGGGCACCAGGGTACTTACAAGGTTGTTGGCTATTGCTTCCTACTTCAACGGCGAAAACAGCTGAATCAGAGTGGTGGGCTATCCCTTTGCTAAACTGGGATGAGTTCAAACTGGTGCATGTAGTCGTAGTTTGAAGCTCCACTTATATTTGAGCTTTGTGCTTTAATTTCTGTTTCTATTCAACTAAAAGCTGTACAAGAAACCATTTGTCTCAGACTTTTTTTTTTTTAAATAAAATTAAAGACAATGAAAGTAAAATGTCAACTTCCCCCCCCCCCCCTTTTTTTTTCTTTTTTTCTGGTGACGTTTAGATTGATGGATATTTGTATAGAAGTTAAGTAGCTTCTTTTTGGTCACTCAACACTGGCACTGCATTCCATTAGAGGATATATAATGCTCCAGCATGTCAGAGTCTACAAAGGAAATAGCTGAGAAATAAAAAAAACCCCTGAAAGTACACTGCTAATATTTCCTTTTTATATAGTTTCCTATTTTAAATGGTAGTTTAAAAAGCAGTTTTACTTCTAGGTGACCTTGTTGCAGTGGCTGTTGTGGCAGGAAGCTCCAGAAGTGTGTAATACGATGTTTCTATACCATGGAAGCATACAGAACTAGATCTATGACACAATTTCTTTGAGAGGCACTTCTGAAGTGTTTTATCACTCAGTGGTATTGAGCTTTTTCTGCTGTTGTCAGCGCGGAGACTTGAAAATTTAAATAAAAAGTATTAGTAATGGTGAAATTTTGAACTACATGTATCTATCTTCCACTAATGACTTCCGAAAATGTATTGTAAAAATAACTTCTAACAATGAAAACAAAGCTTGAGTCATAAATGCCATTTGTTCTGCTTTTTCCAGTTTTAAAATCAGCACATTGAAATGCATCACACTGTTTTAAAGCATTACAATCTGAACGCTTGCAAGAGAATTACAAAACGGAGTGGAAATGACCTTGATTGCCCTATGGCACTTGTTGCTGTAGGAGGTTGTGCAGGCGAGAAGCATTAGACCTCCTTACGAAGGAGCAGAGCTGATGGTCCCTTTTGGTGAGGGGCCCTGGGTGCAGCGCTTGGTGCAAGCGATTCCCCAAGCCACTGTCCGAATCGAGAGCGAGCGCTCCTCATAAGACCCTTCTGATGCTCTTGGGTCTTTGGTGTGATCTAGCATGGCAGTTCAGTCATTTTTTTTACAGAAGTGTCAACCGTTCTCTTAGGAAAAACCAGCCAGTTTCCATTGTGATCCTAGTCTGTGGTCCCAAAAGAACGGATACTTAAACCCCAAACAAACCACAGTTTATACAGAGAGGAAATTACACTTGAGCATAAAACCCGGGTAGTG